AAGGTCGTGAAGAATAAATCTACCGAGTGTTTCAACTGGATTGACCAAACCTGGACATCCGCAGTATTTGAAGGTCGTTCCCACACTAGTACGTGCTTCAATGCGGTAATAATGTATGATGTCATCACAGGACGTTCTCAAATGTTTCCATGTATGAAGCATAAGCGACGTGGTTACACAGCGGTCTTAACCGGCAATGTTGTAGTGGTTATGGGAGGAATAAATGAGAACAGCGAATATCTTAAGTCAGTGGAATGTTTTGATTTAGAACTTCACGTTTGGCAACACTTGCCTGACATGCTTGAACCAAGAGCTTATGCCACTGCTGTTGTCAAACCAAACCTTTGAACTCGGAGGCGGGAATTATAGTTTGCACATGGCATAAATAGTCCCATCCCCATGATATATATATATATATATATATATATATATATATATATATATATATATATATATATATATATATATATATATATATATATATATATATATATATATATATATATATATATATATATATATATATATATATGTGTATATAATGGACAGTAGTTCTCCCAACCAACTCGTTTTTAACATATGGAAACACAGTAATTGGTTACGACCAGAAACAAAACGTAAAATTTTTATTAAATATTCGACCGCATGCGGCAGCCTTCATCAGAAGTAATTACAAAATTAACCATCTGTCAATTATATACCAACTGTGTGGAATAAATTGCTAAATTAATTAAAATAAAAATTACGATCCTGTTGTTGAACAAAATCACGATGGCTATTTAAACCCCCTTGATTAGTAAGCAACATAGCAACCCAGAAGTTTTCTCCCGCCCTCCAATTGTCATCACGCTGATCAGTGAGCATAAATTTCAAAGTTGCAATTGAGTGATCAGCATTATGACAATCTAAAAAGTGATTTACAATACTACAGGTTCTACGTTGGCGTTTGATATGCGATTTGTAATTTGCAACCTCTTCTTAAAATTAGTGGTCGAACCCACTCCTTGCAATATATATATATATATATATATATATATATATATATATATATATATATATATATATATATATATATATATATATATATATATATATATATATATATATATATATATATATATATATATATATATTAAGGTAGCAGTATATTACATTGTTACTGTAGTTACTGAGTTCAGAGAGGAATTAGGAGTTATTATAACAGTTTTCTACTAGTAAATAACTATTGTGCAATTTCAACTGATTTGAACATTTAGGAAAACTTTAAACAAATCGCAGAATTTGCTTGAATCACACTAGGCCTTAGTCTCAGGACAGAAATTTTAAATACTTAAACTTAGCTTGATAGCTGGATGGTTTCTGTATACTGCGTATCATATTGTTATCGAAAGACGTGCACTGATGTAGTGAATTTAATTTCTGAATCACCACTGACTACTGTCAATGAATAAAATGGGGATTTGGCCCTATCACACGTGCGGTAGGATGTCTTAATTTTTCCATAAATGTTGTTCAAAAGCATATCTCCTTCGATCTGGTTTGGGCAATGCAGTGCCGTTAAGTTATAGATTTTGTTTCAATGCCTTGAGTTTGCGCTGCAATTGTTACAGATCATATGTCAATTTGCTGGCATACGTTATAGATCATATGTCAATGCCCTTAGTTGGCGCAACAATTGCCGTGCCAATACGTTATAGATCATATGTCAAAATCTGATCAATGCCTTTAGTTGGCGCTGCAATTGCATTGCCAAAATTCAAAAAGTTATAGATTTTATGTCAATGCTTTGGGTGACTATAATCCATTTATTTTGTATATATAAATGTCAGGATGGTACTAAAACGACCAATCTATATTGAATCTAGTAACACTTCATTTCTTGTGGCAAATGATTGTCTAAAGTTGCCTTTTTAGCAATAACAAAAGGAATTTTGTGCATTTGTTGACCAGATTTAGAACCTTGATCAAATTTTGCATGAATTTTCCTAAATAGAATATTTCACTCCACTCCGGAACGTGTTTTTCCTTAATTTACCTGAAAATATACTGGAAATATACTTGAAATAGCTCGTGAGCAATTACTACGGGAGTGTTGCACCCCAACACCCCCGGGTTGCAACGGCTCACGCCTACATCCATATCTTGCCTGCAAGGCAGGTGCTCGCGCTGCCACCGGTTTTCATGGCAAAAACGACGCCTCAGTATGGCATATTTGACTTTTAAATAAACTAATTAACTGGAAAAGGACAACGGTAAAACTAAATTTTATTTCATCGAATGATTTCCCATTGGAACCTCTGACAATTGCTACTTTTCTGGCTATGAAGCACAAAGTTCCAAAATTATAGCACAATGAACACAGCTACCTCATGGGAGTCGCTAAGTTGATAAAATCGTTTAACGTTTCAAAATACCGCTGGAATATCATATAAAAGATGTTCCAGATGAGAAAGGCAGACCATAGTCTGATAGCTTTTTACTTATTTTTCTTCCGACTTACCGCCCAATAGCATTCTTTTAAATCTACAATAAAAAAGTGTGCCTGAGCTATTATTGTGAAAATAGTTGCTTTCTCTGTCGTTGTTATGATCGTTCGAGAAAAAGTCAAGCTTGGAAATTTTGATGCTAAAATACACGTATTCCGATCACGTAATATACACCGCATTAGAGTCCAGTTGTTGGTGACATTCGTTTTCTTAACCTGTCAGCAACAACATCTAGTTCATTCTGCCTTAGTTCATCTAACAGTAATAGTACTGACTGGAGGATCTTTGTATGTTCTAAATTTGTATCTTCTTTCGCTCCTGCAACATTACTTCTAGTCACAGTATCCTCACCAATATTATTGAAATGCAGTCTAACGTCGCCAATCTTGACATTTGCATCAGGTCCCATGTTCTTGGCCGAAGAGTATCTTTCTTTAAACTGGGAATAATCCGATTTAGGTTTCAAATCTGGATTACCCAAAGCTGTGTAAACTTCCACGTCCTTATTGCCAGGTTTAATCCAGTTAGTTCCACTTTTCCAAGACCTCAACTCGTGTTTACCGTCTCCAATGATATCTATCCAAATATTTGCAATCCATTTCTCACCATTTGATACACAGTCACCGTGGCCGGAAAACGCATCCAGAGCACCGATCCAAGCAGTCTGTGTATTCAATAAGTGATTGTACCACATTACAGCCTTCCCAAGTTTTGGTTTTACGAGTACGTTGCATTCATTGCAGCTTCTAGCCAAATTACATTTCTTGAGATACTCTTTGGGTAAGTCCTATTTTGGAAAGGAGCAAATGAAGTAACAATTGCCAAAAACAAGTTCATCTAAGCTAGGCGAAGTGAGAGAGGGCGTAGAAACGGCCATACATCGAGCGGACCCATCCGTGATGCGGGCTTCGCGGGGGGTAAGACGTTCTAATTGTAAACAAATATGGCTACGCGTATATGACCCATCAGAAGGTATGCTGAAACTATTGCTTTATAAAATATTACTTGCGTAAAATTTATATGCTTTTGTTACTTTTAGCTACTATAAGAAACTTTATTTCGAGTGTTATTTTATTTCTATACTCTGTTTAATTTGGTGTTTAAAAATGGCCGTCGAGATGTTGTAAGAGAGTGTTAGCGCGCACTGCTTCCTGATAAAAACCCAATGATTTCCAAAACCTAAATTATAATTTGTTATTAAGTTATGATGAAAACCTTTGCGTAGACAAAATTATAGAGTGATCAAATATGAGACAGATAGGTTTTGAACCTTTCAAAGTTCGATGTCGAATTGACAGTTGAAATAGTACCAAACTCCAAGCTGAAATGTGCAACTTTATCGTGTATATTTTTGTCAATTTTGTTTACTGGCCTTTGTTAAATTCACTTGCAATGGCTCGACATAAGTTACAACATACAAACTGAGCAGAGCCCATGAAAAAGCTATCCATACCCCTACAGTCATTCAGCTTCCTTGCTATTTAGAAGTGCATGGTTGCCCATTAGTCGAAGAAGAATTGCTATTGTATGCGCTTGTTTGCACTTCCTTTCCTAAAAAAAGTCTACATTAAGGCTAAATAGCAGAAAAATATGACCCATTAATCCATGCAATTAAAAATATCTATCAAATTAACTTCAAAAATCATGACCATATATCTATTCAGGCAACCCATAATTTAGTGACAGGTCTTGGCAAGGTGAAAGCTGAAAGGAACCCTTAAGATGGGTGTACTACAAAACTATATTGACTGAAGTTTTGGAAACATTTAACTAAATTTTGAAGGATTGACTTGCAAACGGTGATTCAGTATCATGGAATTTTACACTTCTGGAGAAGTTGTGGCTCTGTTAGTGCCATTTCTTTCATTGTTTATATATCTTGCTTTTAAGCATTGCTCGCTTATAAAATCTTTCAATTCCTTAGGGCCTGTTTATATGATCCCGCCTAGATGGGACGTTTTCATCCCACCAAGACAGGATACTCGCCTTGTGTTTATATGGACAAAATACATTGCCGGGATAAAACCATTCGGTGCTTGACGTCATATTTTTGTTGCAATAAAGGCATTTACGCATGCCCAAAAGGGAAAAATTCATTCCGCCTATAACCGGGATGAAGTGTTTATATGGGAATTTTTCATCCCGGCTAGGCGGGATAAAGTGTTTTTATATGGGAATTTTTCATCTCGCTTAGGCAGGATCCCGGCATCTGTTGCCGAAATCCAGTCTAGGCGGGATAAGTGGCAGGATCATATAAACACTCTTTAGCATTTGTATTACGAGTGTAAACACTCTTTAGCATTTGTATTACATTGGATCTCGGTAAGCATCCCGTCCCGCCTGGCCGGGATCATATAAACAGGCCCCTAATCTCATCCCATGATACTGAATCACAGTTTGTAAGGCCCCATTTACACGAGACCAGGATGAAACCAACCTGGAATGAAAATTGAAATTGCATGTCAACATGTTTACATGAGACCAGTGCGAAAATCACAAAATTTTCAATTTATTCCCCTTGCCAGGCAATTTTCTTTTTTAGATGACTTTTGTTAGCATGTGTTGTTCACTTGTTCCAATGTCAACATTCATTCCAGTCTGAATTCATACTGGTCTGACTCAGTCGGCTTGGTCCAGCAGGCGGAATGACTTGAGACCACATGTAAACATCTATCATATATAATCTAATAACCAAAACGAAATGGTCCCGGTTAATTGACTTCGTTCCAGTCTCATGTGAACTGGACCTAATAAAATCCTTCAAAAGTTGGCTAAATTTTTCCAAAACTTCAGTCAATATAGTTTTGTAGTATACCAATCCCAAGATCTGTCACTAAATTATGGGTTGATTGGGTCATATTTTTCTGCTATTTAGCCTTAATATTGTAGACTTTTTTCAGAAAAGGAAGTGCAAACAAGCGCATACAATAGCAATTCTTCTTCAACTAATGGGCAACAATTTCTAATTAGCAAGGAAGCTGAATGACTGTATGGGTATGGACTATGGATAGCTCTTTCATGGGCTCTGCTCAGTTTGTATGTTGTAACTTATGTCGAGCCATTGCAAGTGAATTTAACAAAGCCAGCGAACAATATTGATAAATATACACGATTTAGTTGCACATTTCAGCTTGGAGTTTTGTACTATTTTAACTGTCAATTCGACCTCGAACTTTGAAAGGTTCAAAACCTATCTGTCTCATGTTTGCTCACTCTATAAGTTTGTATACGCAAAGGTTTTCATCATAACTTAATAACAAATTATAATTTAGGTTTTGGAAATCATTGGGTTTTTATCAGGAAGCAGTGCGCGCTAACATTCTCGGGCAACATTTCGACGGCCATTTTTAACCACCAAATTAAACAGAGTATATAAATAAAATAACACCCGAAATAAAGTTTTTTCTTACTTAAATCTTATCTTTAAGTTTCTTATAATAGCTGAAAGTAACAAAAACATATAAATTTTACACAAGTAATATTTTATAAAGCAATAGTTTCAGCATACCTTCTGATGGGTCATATACGCGTAGCCATCAGTATTCGTTTACAATTAGAACGTCTTACCCCCCGCGAAGCCCGCATCACGGATGGGTCCGCTCGATGTATGGCCGTTTCTACGCCCTCTCTCCCTTCGCCCTGATCTAAGGCAGGAGAGCGACGAATGAATTAATTAAATACGGCAGAATTTGGAGAGGAAAAAGTTCGACACAGGTTCAGCAGAGCTTGTTGAACTGTGCAACGACATTGATTCATACGCTGCTCCACTCGTTTGCTGAGCCTTATTCAACTTTTAAAATTGAAAACACTAGATTAGCAATCTTGTAATATTTTTAAAAAATTGAGTTACTTGTTATTTAGGATTTTATTTAAGATTCGCTCGCGAAAACGCCTCAACCCTGTCAACAACATTAAAACCGAGACACACGTACCGGACGCGAGTCGACAACACGGGTCGATTTTCCAGTTTGTTCAAACTTAATAAAACAGTCAATGTATGAAAGGATTTATTAAAGACATGCATACCAAATGACTCAAAATTTTATAGAGCTTCTAAATATTCGAAAAACTTAAACCAGGACCACAACTTTTCATCGGTCTGTGAAAATCGAAAAACGGCGTAGCGTTTTCGAAGCGCGTTCGGTGTGTCTCGTCCATTATATTTTGTACACCGGTTGAATCGGTGCCGTTCTTGTAACGCTGCAGCGCGTCGCGTTTAATAAAAATAAGTTCGGCACATGAATAATACTTCGCTCGAAACTGGCCTAAATCACGTCTCGAACGGAATTTTGATGTTACGGAAGAAGGTACTTAAAAAACGAATTCTTGTTTTTTGTTTTCGTTTATGTCACAATGGACCTTTCCGTTAATTACATCATAACTACACTGTTTCACAACTACACTGGGGCTTGGCCCCTTAGCCTTCGTGTTTAAGCTTATTTCTACATTTATTGGTCAAAATGCAAAATTCATTTTTGTGCATGTGTTGAAGAAGGATGTTCTGCTCCTCCAACCATAACCCGTGAGAAACAAACCTGTGAGAAATCCATTCCATTTAAAGTGGTTCCAAGTTGAAAACAGTATAATTGTGACGTAATTACCGGGCAATATGATTTGTTTCTCAGTTCCGGATATCCTTGGCGAAGCACTATATCCCTCAGCCAATTATTGTTTACTATGGTTTTTAAAATCTAAAGGTTTATAATTTCTGTATTAGCTATTGCTAACTGTGAAATCGTCGTAGAAACTCAATAGTTTACCAAATATGGGGTTTCACCGAAGTGACGTCATAATGTTGATATGAAAAAAGATCATATTGATCGAAATCATGTTGTACGGCGTCTTCGGACGTGTTCGCAGGTTTAAAAGAAACGCTTGATATAATTCTTCACATGATGCTCAACCTATAATTGTTGACTAATATGGAAAAGTAATTAGCATGTTTATTAAACTATGGTGCCTCCTATTAGTCAACATTGGACAAAATCGGGATTCTACAGTAGAACAAAATGTTCGCATGACGTATTTAACTGAAAATACTGGAATAACTTATCAGTTTCGTTTTTTTTATATTATAAATATAACTAATTATTCGTGACTTGGTCCGCTCAATCACATTATCGAGGATCGTTTGGGCGCACGCAAAATAAATTTGAAGCGCACGCAAAAGCGTCACATTTTCTAAGGGAATAATCTTGATATCAAAACTACCTTACAATAATAGAGAGTTTAAGTTCGACTTCCGATACCAATACCGATACTAACAACATGTCATGCGCATGCTCTCTGCTTGCAAGAAGCACGAGGACAAGTGTATTGGAAGTCACCACTACCGAAATCGGCCTTGTACTGGAAGTCGGGGGAATTGTAAGACAAACTCATATAAATCGGATATTTCATAATTTTTACGATAAACATGTAAACTATTTGTTTATTAGCATCGCATGAGTCATGTTTCAGTCGGAATTTTAGCTCAGCTGCCGTTTAGTATACCGCACATTTTCGGTGACGATTAATGTGTTCTATACTTTATCTGTCGTGATAATTTAACGCTTTAAAATTCCCAGTACCAAAATGAGAACGGTGGTGAAAACATCGGTATCGGTATTGGTATTGGAAGTCGAACTTAAACTCTCTATTCTTGATATCACGACTACTTACCTTCTGAGAAAATGTCTTGTTGTCCGCCAAAGGAAAACATTTTTCTCCACCTTCGTAGTCTTCGTTTAAGAACACCATTATTGTTAAATATCTGTAAATAATTAACAATTGGATCGTAAAGCATTTAATTGATAGTCATGCACTTGGAACTTAGTGTGGTTTATAATCGATACTCGAAATACATGCATGCATGCATGCAACAACCCCTCGCCCACATTTTCCAAACATTAATGTTTCAACATGATCGAAGAATTCTAATTACGCCAACACGGAACGCATGCTCGCGTCATGTTAGTCATGGCAACACTACAACTGTTTTCTTAATTTTTTGCCAAAATGGCAGAAATAAACGAAAGTTTTACGCTTTCAACCACAGAACTATCGATTTTTCCTTTCTATGTGTTTTATTATAATGTAAAATTCAGTACGAAACGCTTCGAAAACATTTTGAAATTAACAGCTTTTTGAATTTTACCGAAAAATCCTCAATTTATTAATACTTTTACTTTGAAACGAAATAAAGTTAAGTCATACAATTCGTTCTTGAAAATAATCTTCTCCTTTTTTTGAGCTTTTATAAAAAATTGAAACCAGTTAATTCAAAGAAACTTTAACATAGAATGGAAAGAAAAGCTGTACATGTTCAAGGCCTTCACCGACGAAAATAGGACAGCAAAGTCACACAAGAACAGCAAAAACAAACTTAGCCTATACTACTGGATTGCACATACTTATCGTCTCTTAAAATTTGAAAAAGTGATTTACAACTCGTGATTTGAATAGATGTCCAAGCTCTCAGTCATATATTTTGTTTTTTTAATTTTTGCTTACTTCACTCCTTGCGACTTGGTCACGAGATCTTAAATTAAACATCTTAAGAAAGTGAATATGTATTTTAAACATTCAAATATAGGGTGACATTTTAAGTAAAATTTCAGATTGTTAGCATTTAAGACTTGCAATGTCGTGGAACGATTATATACGATGCCATTGTAAACGGTTCTTTAAAGGACGAGTTATCATGCCAGTGATCATTTGCACGATTGTATTTACATTTAATGTTTACATTGGGCTGTATATCTGATCATAGTTAATCGAGGAGATGGTTTGGAAACTCGTTAGCATTAAAATAAAATCACAATATATAGACCTCATTATCTATGTTGTTCAGGAAGTATGCAAAAATGTGGTCTTTCATCGTCACGTGCGTATTGTATTTTTCTCAAGTCAACCAATAGGAATAATCAAAATGTCCTATTGTTAAAGTCATGGATGGCCAATTAGACAAAACCGTTGCTATTGGATGGTTGAGCAAAATATAATACGCACGTGACGACGAAAGACCACATTTTTGCATAAACATGAACAAAAACATATATAGTGAGGTTTATTGTAATGCTAATGAGTTTCCAAACCATCTCCTCTATTAATTAACTATGATCTGATGAATATACTTTCATTGCAAACATTTTGTATAAAAAACGCAACATTTCACAAGATATACTGACTTACTTCGTTTAAATGAACAAAATAAATAAAGTTGTTTTTCAATAGGATTCCAATAAATATGGGCCAATACAAATTAAACCTTGGAGCGTAGCGGCGCAAATTAAAATACATTCAAACATCATTAATAATTCATAAGCTTGTTGGCAAATCATGTCAACCATAATATATCACGTGCAGTGGCTTTAAACCTGATCAAAAACTCCTAATTAGTACTCTTTATATAAAGAATACTAATAAGGCAGTATCTATTGTAGTCGTGTCCTCATTAGTATTCTTTATATATAGAATACTGACAAGGCAGTAAATCTATTGAATTTGTAGTCGTGTTTGAAGCCGTTTAATAAACTCGCAGGTCGTGTTTTATTAAGTCTAAAGCCACTCGCGCTGCGCGCTTGTGGTTTTAAACCTAATAAAACACTCCTGCTCGTTTACTAAACAGTACTTTAAATGCCGTGAAAAATCACTATTCGTCTTATAAAACTAGTTTTCGTGAAAAGTACTGCGTTTAAATAGATTTCGTACACGCATAAAACGTTTATATCAGCCTCGTGACCCGTTCTAATATTGCCATTTCCTCCTAATCAATGTAAGTTTTGAAGAGAAAAATTCCAAAATATTATTCAAAGCAACACTCCTTAATCATTTGATAAGTTGTTAATTCCGCGCACGTGTTGTTTTAAGAGTTTGTGATCACGTGACATCTTACTGCAAGTCGCCTATATATTGAACGTTATAATTTGAAATTCTAACTTAGCAAGCATGCAGACTACTGAAAATAGCAGCATCTGCTTAAAAGATGCCTTACACGAACTATGAAACGATTAATGAAATTGAAACCAATCTGTGATTTATATTACCTGCAAAGTCTGCAATTTGACGAGCCATATTGACAGCAAGGTAGATCCTTTGAAAGACTTTGAGTGTCATGATGGCAGTCATAGTGAGCATCACTTTCATATTTTACCACCTGAACAGAGAAGTATTTTTATATCACTAATTGAAACATCTGGAGGAAAACATCGCCTGTATTCTAAAAGCACACTCACTCTCAAAATATGGAGGTTCAATCTGAACTTCCCTTGAATACAGACAGTGCTGTTTTTGAATAGCTGGAGGGTTATTGTCGGGTTTTTTTTGTGACTACTGACCCCTCAGCTATTCATAAACAGCAATGACAGTCACGTGAAGCTTAAATTGACCCTTCACTCTTTGAGTGTGAGTGAGCTCTTATAATACAGGCGTAGGTGTATATAGTTAAAAATGTTACCGAAAATTTCAGAAAATTGCTTTGCATTTGCAAAATTTCAGAAAATGCACATGTGAAATTTTTTCGGGTAACAAATCGTTACATTAAAACGGACATAATCAGACTAACTATAGTTAAAAACTCAATAGTAATTCGTGAAGAATTGACTCGTCAAATTTGACGTATTAATTAACTGTTTTAGTATAATTTTTGCATATTAAATGAGCTTTCTCTCGTTCTGATTGGCTAGTTGACTAATCAATCTGAGGCATTATTTGGCACCTGTGTAGAAATAAGTAAATAATGCTTTTCAAAAAGAATGACTAGGCAAATTTAGTTTCAAAATCGACAAAATATTGAAAAAATCGTCCCCAGAAAACGAAATAAGTACAAAATGTTGTATTAACTTGAAAGGTAAGATTCCTTTATTATTTTACTGTGTCAAACACATTCACGGACAATTTGAAACTTATTTAAAACCGGAGTTTTTGTTTTCAAAAAAATAGAAAAAAGTATCCAGACTGTTCAATGGAAAAAACTTTGCCGTGATATTCTTTTAAATCCATTTTGTTTTGTATCCCATAGATTTCTCAACTTGTACGATACTATTTTGGAAGCGTGTGCGTACAAGAAACACTGCAACACTATTAGTGATAGTAACCGAGAAGAGGCCGAAAACAGTTTTATTTCGGAATTTTAAACGAACTGATATTTGGATATTTTGTTTTAATCATTAAAAACTTATACCCAAACAATTATTCGCCTCAGGCTCAGTGATTACGGTGAATATTTACCTCGACTTCGTCTCGGTGAATATTCACCGGTAATCACTTCGCCTTCGGCGAATAATTGTTAAGTATTCACTTACAGGTGAATATAACAAAACCGAAATATTTAAAATGGCGGCTAGCCATTTTGTGGAATTTCGACGAATATTCTCCAATAATCACCTCGCCTTCGACGAATAATTGTTAAATATTATTCGTTATATATAATATTCAGATGATTATAGTTCATGTATCTAAATACTTAAATTTAATTTCAGGAACAAAATGAAGAAGATATATAATTGGACTGGATGGAGTAGGCTAATTACCTGTATCGGCTCGCTGTGTTCTACAACCTTTTTGGGAAATCTTGTAAGTTTTGCAACTCTAGAACGCATAACGAATTGCATGGTTAGTATTTTTACACGAAAACAATATGAGACATACTCCTGCGTTTAGGCTTTCAACATAAACATGCGGTGCCTCCGATGGATCACGCGGGACACTTGATCTTGTTCCGGGACACCGACTCTTGTTCCTTGACGATGATATATTTAACAATTACACCATGAGCTCGAGTCGTAAATGAGCTGATAGCTGACGAGGTGCGTCGCACCGAGTCGACTATCAGCCATGTACGACGAGAGCGAATGGTATAATAGTATTTAACCATTTAGCCATTAACTGAAGCTACAATTAATTATCCTCCCTTACAATGTCTTGACAATTTGTTTCGCCAAAAACCGCTTGGTCTTGAATTTTTGAAATACTTTTGTTTTACAACTCGAAGAAGAAGTGGTTTTAGAACCGATATATCTGACAGAAAAGCTCAGATATATTATACAGATGTTTGGTAGTATAATAAGTGCTTATTGACTGCAAATTGATTTGTCTTTCGTTGAAAACTTTTCAGAACAATTTATATTCTCAATGTTTTTTTCGATTTTGTTTCGGTATTAATTCTTTAAAAATTTGCATTTAAACTAATTTCTATGTAATAAATGTATTTTGCTAACCTGTCAAAATTTTGTGAGTTTTTCCTTGCACTTGTATTATTATCTTTCTCAAAGCGAATATTTTCCTTTTTCCTTCTTCGCAAACCTCGTGTAGTTTTTGGACCGCCATCTTGTTTTTCGCCACTCGCCGTATAAGAGCTGATATACGGCGAGTAATTCAACCAATCAGATTGCAGAACAGCTCATATACGGTGAATGACAATATTATATATATATATATATATATATATATATATATATATATATATATATATATATATATATATATATATATATATATACTATATATATACTATATATATATATATATACTATATATATATACTATATATATATACTATATATATATATATACTATATACTATATATATATATATATATATATATATATATATATATATATATATATATATATATATACCAAATATGTATTTAGAATCATATATGAGTAGAGTGCTCGATATACCGAAGTATAGAGCTAATATAGATAAAGATAAAATAAACCTGGTTTACTTCATAAGATTTATTCACTACAAATTTGTTTCGTATGACAAGCAATGCTTGCCACACTCATCAGGTGAATTTTAAATTCACCTGATGAGTGTGGCAAGCATTGCTTGTCATACGAAACAAGTTTGTAGTGAATAAATCTTATGAAGTAAACCAGGTTTATTTTATCTTTATCTATATTAGCTCTATACTTCGGTATATCGAGCACTCTACTCATATATGATTCTAAATGCATATTTGGTATATATATATATATATATATATATATATATATATATATATATATATATATATATATATATATATATATATATATATATATATATATATATATATATATATATATATATATATATACCGTGTGGCGCAAAAAAAAGTTAACCTGTTTGATTTATTTTAACTTAAAAACTAAAAGAGCTATTACACCTAAACTACGTGCATTGCATTCAATATTGTTTAACTTAAATTTTGATATACTCCCTGTGCAATTTCGTGCAATATTGACCGAGAGAGCTGTGTTTAAACTTGAATAAACATTTTTGGAAGTGTCGAGAATCAGCTAAAAACAGCCTGTTAAACTAATTTGATAACAGTTACCATTTTATAGTGAATATTCGTTTGAATGAAGTGAAATTTAAATTAAAAATGTTTATTGGATGGATGTGCTCCTTTATTTTTGTTTAAGGTCTTTGCGAATGCACGAAAATTAAATTATGAAGCGATTTTGATTTTAATAGGTTTATTCTAAATATTCAATCACCCTGGGGAATCAAATTCTAATGTTCCAAGGAAGAAACGTCAACTGTTTTTGTATAAATACGCCTCGTTTAACGAAGGTCCAAAGAGTTTCGATATGTTTAGAATATGCAAGGGTAGGCTAAATAATACTCGTGAGGTTATAGCGGCGGCGTTGCGCAGGTCTCTGACAACGAACGTGTACTT